GTAGAATGATATAAATATGTTATTAATATAGTAAGATTCATCGAATAACATCAAATATTTATACTGATTTATTAAAAACTTAACTGACATATATATTACTCTTTTCCATTGTATGACGAAAATAATTTCAATGTTAGTGTCCTTAAAATCCTCAAAATAATAGGCAACTGTTTTTAGTTTTCTTCGCAAGCTTCTTCATTCTCTTTTTATTCTTCTTGAAGCCCCCTCTTCCAAAAACCTCAAAACCCATAAAGCCTTCGATCCTAGGTATATAGCATGACTATCTAAAAGAAACAATAAAAAAAATAAGAAAATATAAACACAAGTCGCCGAACAAAAAGTTTAAGCATATTCATACTTCTATAGGTTGGGCAAATGTAGGTTGTCCTCCAAGAATGGAGCCAAATGCTTTAACCAATTATTATCTAAAATATGTACCAAAACAGAATGTTCTTCCAACTCTTTATTCTTCAATCTGGAAGTCTTAATGTGGCTACATGAAAATAAAACACAACAATCCTAAAATGCTTTTATGGTAAATATATGCCGAAAAAAAAATAACTTCATCTTGCATAAATAAGAAATAAAGAAAATAATAATAGTATAAGAATTAGTCATGATTTATATCGTGAAGAATTCATAGAAGTTTTTTATAACCACTAACTTCAAATATGATGAAAACTATAGCCAAGTAGGTAAGTGACTCTCATAATAACATAATTCATTTTCCATAAAAAAACGTTCAAAAACTCACCAACAATTGGAGCTAAAATTATATATGAATCATTATAAACATATAGCATCTATAAAATTTTCACCCTTGAAACCATCGCTTTTGAGAAATAGAGTAGTCGCACTCTTTGAAAAGCTTATTAGATATGCTTAATTATGTTCGTCGTTGCAAGGACCAAGAAGATTGAAACAAAGAAGAAATAATGAGTCTTGACTGAAGACGAGGAGAGAAAACAAGGAAATTTTCAAATAAAGTTGAGAACTATTTATAAGAAAAAGAAATGATAACTTTGATAAACATTGAATCAGAGATATTTTGGAATTTCACATTTCAAATTTAATATTAAATTATTATGAATTGTCATCATTACTTCTAAAAAATTATCGATCATTTCAAGAGACATGAAACACGAGCAGCTGAATTAAATCATAGCATAAGAAAGAATTTTAGAATTTTATTCCACAAATAAAAAATGTGAATTCCTTTAATATACATCAAGAATGACTTCAAGTCAACCCAACATTTGAACTTTTCCAAATGGATTAAAATTACATCACTAGAAACTCTCCTACTTTGATTATTTGAAGTATGAGCTCGCTGCATCTAAGAAATAACTTGACTTCGACGAGTCCAAGGCCTTTCAACCAAGGATAGCTTCAATTTTCAAATTCAGAAAGTCTCGAGAAAGAAAGTTGACGAATTCCTCAAAAAATGGGTTTTGAAAATTTTCCAAAATATTGATTTTTCCAAGTAGCACATTCTTTTCTTCTTTAGATGTTGCTTTCAGGAGGACAAGTTAATTTTTAAATTTGATCCTCTTCGTCTCAACTTAATTTTGTAATGAAATTAAGAATGATTTCATTGAAATCATCTCTCTCGTCATATTTTTAATTTTCCTTGAAAAACATCAATCAACTCCCTCGAAGTATCAATGAAAAGCTTTTAGCATCATTTGAACTTTCTTGCAAGACAAATGTGATAGTTTTTCCTTAACAGTTGCAAACTCAACAAAATGCAAAATGAATATACATCTGTGAAAGGTTTGGAGTAACTCAAGTGACTAACAAGATTAGAGAGAAGCGTTTTAGATGGTTTGGTCACATTAAATGTTAATCATATGATAACCTTGTTAGGAGAGTAGATGTTTTAGATTTGACTTATGTTAAGAAAGGTACAGGCAGACCTAAAAAGACTTGGGCATATTGTATACAAATGATCATACTTTATTAGAATTAAATAAAAATATGATACTCAATAGGACGCATGGAGAAAAAAAATTCACATCGCCAACCCCACTTAGTGGGATAAAGGCTTGTTATTGTTGTTGTTGTTGTAGTAGTTGCAAGCTCAACATCATTACTATCTCACGATCTTTTACAATTTATGGAGTATTTAGATAATCCATAAAATCCCTTCAATAGTTTCTTTTGTAGGCTTTTGCGAGGAAACAACTTTGACATCCATTGATCTTGGCTCATCAAAAAATGCTTGGGGAATAAAAAAGTTCTTAACAAAGCTAAAAATATATTGCTCAATATGATACAACAAAAAATTAACCAACATAGTTTATTGAGATGAACTTATTGAAATCAATGTCGAATTGGTTCTTGCATTAATAATGGCTTGGTACTCAACTAAAAGTCACTCATTGAATAAAAATCTATAATGTTGAGGAGAAACTTACAAAAAAATCCTTTGACTCAACATCTTTTACCACAAAAGATAAGTGACCTTATATTCAAGATGATCTTCTTGCCAACAAACTTTTTAGACTGCTAGAGTAATTTGTCTGCTAGTGGACTAGTTGAAGTTGTCAGAGCTGTCTTAAAAAAAAATATACATATACATTATTGATACCAGACATTGCAATAGAACAATTCCATGCATCTTAATAGCTAACTAAATATGCTGATATTTAGCAATATTCAAAGCATTCATCAATCCAAGAAAATTTTCAGTTGGCAGAGGAGGAATACCAGTTGATCCCATAGGATAAGTCGTCAGCTGTACTAAAGAGACTTGATCCTTTTCTGGACTTTCTTAGAAAGAGTAAAGTTCTGTTTCTTCTTTCCTAAAGAGCATTCTCTCTTTTTCCTGTCACCACTTAAAGATGCTAGCAACTACAATATCGTTTGAAATTTTTATTTTATCTTTAAGGAATAGTCATGTAAACAAAATCGCATAATTCAAGAAGAAAGAAAGCAGTTTTTAAATCAAAGAAACATATCTCTATTTATAAGCAACTGCCAACATTGACATGGAATATACAATCAAAGGTGAAAATCAATGCAAAAAAGCAATACGGGGACAAGCTTAACTACTTTCATTATTTTTTTATACATACATATATTTATATACAAAATATTTTATTAATTTATTTTTTAAGGTTGAAATCCAAAGTGAATTCAAGGAGGCAAAATGAAATTCTCTCCAAAGAAGGAAAGCAAAAAAAAAGATAATTATTTAAGAAGAAATGATATTTGTTATTATCCTCTTATTGTTTCGTAGTTACCTTCTGTATATATAATAAAATGGGGTAAATAAATGAAAATTAAAATATATCAAAATTCGATAGCTTGAACTTTAACAAACAACATGTATTCGCTCGTGTCATGCTAAATTGCCCGAGACATGGTGAACTCACCAAAATCATGATGAAATTATCAAACTGATGGTGAAATCACAATAATCTAAAGTAATATTTGCTAAAGGTCAATCCTATCCGTCATGATAAGGCATATTTGTCAAAGCTTAGGAATTACTCATCAAATCATTGACATTCTCAAGGGAGAATGACGGCTTCCAAACAAGTCAGCTATAAGTTAGAGTACTTAATTCTAGCAAAATGCATTCACATGCCATATATATTTTACAACATATAATTGATAGGCCTTAAAAAAACTTTTTTATCCACGTAACTTAATATGTAGCTTCCCTATAGCTATATAAAACTGAATCAAATTTATAAATAAGAACATCGGAAGAGCCCAAAGTTATGCAATTTCATGCAATTAGACTCATTTTTTTTGTACTTAAACCCATTGGACTAAAATCCTAAAACTTTTCAATCTACATTGCCTCTTTTTTTCTCTCTTGTCATCTTTTCATTCTGAGCGCTAGTAAGATTCTGGTATAACCCACATATGATTATGGATCTAATAGTTAGTAACAATCATAGATGCACCACCTACATCTCACTGACACTTATTATATTGCTTCACAAATGCCATGATTAGTTATTGCTTTTCATAACTATTTATGCTTAACACTATATTAGTATTGATTAAGTGTTAAGCTTATTAAATGCCTTCTTTATTTGTATCCATAAGTTTGGCACTACATACAAAGTTTAGAATTCATCCTATGTGTCAGTGTTTTTCAAATAAGATTTCTCTTGTGCTATTAATGAAGATTTATCATAAACACTTCTATATTGGGTAAATTGAGAATTTTAGCTGTTGGCTTTTAATTGTATACTTTTAAGTTAGAGGCACATTTAACTCTTCATTAAGAATCAACGAATTGAGGGTATCATTGTTTCTATGCCAAATGGAAGTAATAATTAGATTTATAGTATATATGAAAGATAAATTGCATGGATTTTGCTTGCATTTTGCATCATTGATCTGTTTGGTCGATATACAATGTCGACATGATTGGACAAGTGATATACATGAATTGTAAACTTCTAAAATTCACCCATCTTGATGTTATACTGCTGAAATTTTTGGAGTGTATAGGTGTTTGGGATATGAGCACCAATTTCCTATTAAATTAAATATAAAGCTAAAAATTATTTAGGTTTTTTTAGGAAAAAAGAACATAGATTTTGTTATGATAGAACACTTCAAACAATCTTAGCATGTCAGTTCCTCGGTTAGGACTTCCATATGGCTGGTATAGTAGCGACTCTCCATTACTAGTTTACAGGCAAATAGTCTAAAATTACATTAAGGATGTCTTGAATGCTAGAAATTTGAGTGAAAGAAAAAGACCACAGGAAAATTGAAAAAGATATAAACAATGGATGCAGATTTCATCAAATTTCACTAAAACAAACAATATCTTTTTTGTCATTTTCCTTCAATACAAACAAAGCCTAATTTTTTTACCAAAACAAACAGTCTGTGCTACTTGGTTTCTATTTTTGAGCAACAGATCATTCAATTTCATTCAATACTAAACCCATCCAGAAAACTGAAGTAAAATTTTAGACATCAACAAAAGCGAAGAGAATGAAGGGAAAAAAAGGGCTCTTGTAGAATACCAGGAATTTCCGCAATTCGAGGTTCAGTATGGTGGCCGTTACAAACAACAACACCTTCATAGACCTCAGTCTCGTCGTCGGCACGGCCATCGTCGATCTTGAGCGACCTCACAGCCCACCTTCCCTCCCCCTCCATCTCCACGCTGATAACCTCGGTTCCGAATCGTATCATTCCATTAAGATCGGTATCCCTCGAAAAATCTTCAAGATAGCGGAGCACCTCACGATGTCCTGGGAAACGACGACGGTCATTATCACTATTTTCGGTGATGGCGACGAAAGGATAATCGGAAAAGCCCATACATTCCCGAGGGAGATTGGTGCGAAGAGAATCGTAGAGGCTGGAATGGACGATCTTTCGATTGGGATCGAGGCCAAGGGGATCGGATTCGATTGCAGGAGTGTAAACCCAGGTTCCGCCGACGCCGTGACCACGTTCGAAAACGACGACGCTGTGACCCTCACGCCGGAGCTCCCGCGCAGCTACGAGCCCAGCGGCGCCCGCACCAATGACGGCGATACGGCGGCGGAACATTAGTTGACTATCTGGGAAGAGGGCGGTTGTGGTGGGCAGTAGAGCCCGCAAGGTGGGCATTGGAGAACCAGAGGCGTCGGAATAGTTTTTCCTTCGGAGACCCAGATGACCTGATATATCTTCCGTAGCCATTTTGGGAAAGCTCGCGCAATCGAGTACGGGGAAACGAGCTTACGTACCACAATTTTTCACTTTTAGGGACGGTTTTTTTTTGGGCTGCGAGGCCCACGCCCCGTTTTTTTTTTTCATTTCCGTTTGAAAGAAGGCCGCATTCTCCCTATGGCCCGATTCCTCGAGCTAATATTATTAGTTTTACCCCCTCGCGATATGATTCATGGCTCCATCGTCTCTTATGCCTTCTATCCAAGCGTCGGGTTTCC